ATTTTACACTTTTTATTAGACTTTCTTTTGTTGGCTTGGTGTCAATAAATTTAAAGTCCATGATGGGACTCTCAGATTTGGATGAAAACTGAAGGAGGGAGAAGGAAGCAAGCAGTGAAAGTCTGCCAACACGCCTTTAATGAGGCATGATTTAACCAAAGAGTGTAAAATCTGAGTGACATAAGATCTGGTGTAAAATTCAGAAAAGATAAACGGAATCATAACATCTGTTCTCCACCAAAATGTCTAAATTCAGTGTGCCAGCCTGGATTTTTTGGGCAATTTATTCCCCGAAGCTGCACCTTGTGGCATCTCCTTTCTGTTATGAGTAGAAAGCCTATGATAAAGATATAAATTAGACATTACAGCCACCTGTTCAGCAGCCTCATTGTCTTATTTTATTAATTTAGTTTAAAGTTTTTGGAACAAAGGTGCGTCCTGTAATATTTTTTACACCTTTTCTGGTGTAAAGAGGTAGCTCCACATTTCTATGACATCAAGCAGGCCGTTAATTTAAACGAAATGTGTTTTTTCTACTTATATTTGCGGGTTTTTTTTACTATTATTTTAGTGCTGCTGTGGTCCAAAGTGCAGCCAATCTAGAAAATGATCAACATTTCAGAATTCTCGGGCTGCAGAGAGACTTTGGTTCCTCACTTAACTACATAAAGCATCTTATTGGTGCCTTAAATAAGCTTAAATTTTCATCTGACAGCTCGTTTAAAAAACTGTTTGGGGTTAATATGGAACTTGAGGCAACATCTAGAGTCGTGTCTTCATACTGAGTTCCTGACGGTGCGGACTGAGGGCGGGTGTGAGTCGTGGCCTTTGGCGAGCGGACCCGGGTAATTACGCGCTATTTTAATTCTCAGTATCATCGCGATAGATAAAAATCAGTGAGTTTTAATCCCTTGTTAAACTCTCGATAACCTCTCTTGTCTTTTTTGTGCCACTTCTCCCTTCAGGCGCTTTTTTTTCCCTCTCCTGCGCGTTTTGGTCACTTTACAGGAGGACTGTCTCCGTTTCCAGCTGATGCTATGATTCCCTTTAATCTCTTGACAGTTTTATTTATCATTAAAACAGCCTCCCTGTTGTCCTGAGACTATGACAGACTTCAATCACAAACTGAGCAGATAAGAGCTGCAACTTGCCTCTATTCTCTTTATTATTATTATAATTAAATTCTGGCAGATGTTTGGCGCACAGAGCAGAAAGGAATCTCGCAGATCTCCAAAGTCCATATGGCAGAATAAACCCAGCCTTTATACGATCCAGGCGACACGGTGCCCTGCGTGACTGTCATCAGAGGTGTCGTGTTTGTTTTACAGGCTTGTGAGAACAACGTTAACAGCGTTTTAAACTCACCGGGATGCTGGCTCCCCGGTGGGACGTCGCGCACGTACACAGGCCCCGTTTCCACGCAGGGTGCAAAGACGGTGACATTTTTAAGTGGCTTCAAGTCGTTTGAATCCATCCGAGAGCTCTGCATGCAACAGACATCTGCTCAGTCACATTAACACGTGTGTGCAGCGTGTGGAGCAAAAAGAAGTGAAGTGCAAAATAAAGAAGAAGACTGTTTAAGCTGGTTTCCTCTTGCATGAGTGTTACAGGAGTTGGTTTTGTTTTATTCCAATCATCTTGATAACAGAGGCAGTGAGGTTCACCTTTAATGCAGTTTTAATCTCATTTAAGGAAAAGAGCAGCATGGGCTTTGAAAAGAACGAATTTATATTGTTGTGTAAGCTCAGTGCCAAACAAGAAGAAAAAAAAGTGCAGAATAAAAGGTCATCAGACTTTATTTATTTAATTCCTGATTACAGATGTTGTCTGAGTACAAAAACAGGAGATTTTTCTGTGGCAAAGGAGTGTTTTCAGACATAACAGATGGAATCAAAGTGAATTATTGAGATTTAAATGTCAAAAAAATATGTCCTGAGCTTGAAAACATCAGTTGGATTTAGAGGTAAAATCACATCAGGTGATCTAGAAAATCTAAAAAATGTGATTCCTCAAGTGTTCTGAAAAATAAAAAGTTTTGAATTTGTTTTTTAATTATTTGATTTTTTTTGTGGTCAGTGATTCACATTTTTTGCCAAATTCTGTCAAATGCGCTCCTCACTCAGGTGCAGTTTACCTGTCAGGTGAGAGGACTGTGCGCCATCGCAGCAAATCAGGCGCTAAATTGCGTGTGGAAGTGTGGAAGTGGCGCCACATGCCTGTACACAGTCTAATCAAAGCGTCGCTGGAGGTGAATGGAAACAAGCCGTCTCCTTGACAAGTGTTTCCGTACAGTCGCTCAGTGGGTGTAATGCCATCAAAACACAGCCTCGGTCATCCTGGCTTTTTTTTTTTTTTTTTTTTACTTTAAGGGGCTGCTCCTCTTCTTCTTCTTCTTTTGCCTCCATAAAAACCACACCTCCTCCCTCCTGCTCCTCCAATAGCAGCGCGGCTCGGTCCTGTGCGCAGCCCCGGTTGGATAAAACCTGGCTCAGTGTCGGCTGCGCACACACAACACAACACAACAGCAGTCCTGCCTCCTCTAAGCGCAGCCCGGACACACACATATACACACACTGCACGAGAGGAACCCATCATTTTGGATAATATCTTCCGAGGGAACGTTGCTTTTTTTTTTTTTTTTTTTAAATTTCGAGCTCCATCGTTGGAAAGGTAAGATCTTCTCCTGAACCGCTCTCGGTGCGTAATGCGAGTGCGCACGGGGCACCGCGTAGTGAGCCGCAGTCCTGACAACACGGGGGGACTGACAGAGGGGACTTAAATTATCCAGAAACACTCCGAGGGCTTTGTGTTGTTCTAGTTTGGGTGAAACACGGAAAAAGAAGCTTAATTAATAGAGAGAAATGTGGTGTAATTAGGCAGCCAGTAAAGCGAAGAGCAAAGTTTTTTCAAGGACAGATTCCAGATTTTGGGCTGTTGCGCACAAACAGTGTAAGTGAGAATAACTGCGATGAATTAAATCTAACATGGCACTTTTTAAATTTTCTCTGCTCCTAAAATTAACCGGAAAAAACACAACTCAGTGTAAATAGTTCTGATTTATTTCCTTATTTAATTCCATCTGCTAAACTTTGTGAATTCAGTAAAGCTTTCCACATGATCCTCCAGAAATCTGTGTTCAAAATTACCCTGAAAACCTTTAAGAATTATTTTTTAAAATGCAAGATTAGATTACCTGGTAATAACACAACTTATATTAACACCACATTGCTTAACTTGTGGATGCAAGAAGCTGCTTTGTTCTTTTTTTGTTTCTAATTTGTCCTCCAAAAAAATCAGACCTAAAATAAATAAAACACATTTATGTAGCTGCACAGTAAAAAATCTCACCCTGTGTCTTAATCAAACAGGCCCAACATTTTCTAAATTATTTTATATTTCAATTGTGACAAATTTAAAAACTGAAGTGTGGCACATTTTGCATTTCACAAAAGGTGGCACGTTTTCTAACTTGTGAACAAACGCAAATAGATTTTCAGCTAAAAAAAAATAAAATTAAACAACAACATGCTTTTCAATAAATACCCTACAAAAATGAAGAGCTTCCAGCTGAGTTTTCTCCCACACGCCAACATCAAAATACTGAATTTAATTAAATGTGGCGATGCACAGCAGGTTTTATTTCTCATAGTGACACTGTGGAAGCAAACCTGCAGCCTGTCAGAGTGTCTTTCATTAAACCATGTGACAGCCTGCTAATTATTTGGTTAATTTTAAAAGGTGCCACCCATGCAGCACGTGGAAACGGTAACTTTTTAAAACCCAACACAGAGAATCTAAAAGTGGCTTCAACAACTTTTAATCCTTCCTGTCTCCTGTGTGATGCACTCCAAAGCCAGGCATCATATAATTGCCACAATTAATATGGAATTCCCAGCAGGTTTATCTCTGAGTCCTTGCATTAATTGAGGTGCTGCCTCTGTCTCATTTTACATAAATTACCACACAGTGTTTTTTTGTTTTTTTTGTTTTTTTTGTTTTTTTCGCGGTCCTCCTGCTCTCAGCAGAGTGGAGAAGTGCAGCTGAGCAGATGGAGCCTGTAAACAAGGCTTACATATGGCCAATAACAACCGCCAGCCATCACATCTACAGCAGATTTAACGTCTTTTAGTTAAGAGTTAGGATCCTGATGATGTGGCTCGTCTCTTAACGCCCTCACACTTTTTCTCTTTTTGTATTTTCACCAGCCGTTTGGTGGAATAAATCAAAAGCAGCTACGAGATCTGTACGAAAAGTCATTTTTGTTCCACTTCTGTTCACCTGCTTTTTAAGTAGTCGCCCTCATGATATTTTACTTTACTTAATTCCAGGCTATATCTAATATTAATTTTGTTAGATTAATAAACACATTCCTGAAGAGTGATCCTTAAACTTTCACTCTTCACTTTCTCCTCTCTCACCAGCGCCACATAAAATAATTCTATGACATCACTCCTTGATTTTGTGGTTCAGAACCCAAAATAAAACAGATTTACTGTCTTCAATCATTAAAACGAGATTAATGAGACCAGTCAATCCTAATTACAAAGCGCTTAATGAAGGGAAATTTTATGTTTAATGGGAGCAGTCATCTGAAATGGCTGAAGGGGAGGAAAAGCTTTAATCTTTTCCCAAAATGATGATAGCTTTTTTTGCACAAATGCACAGGCCTCGCTGTCTGCTGCTCGCGTCATTAATAAAGAGGAAGAAACACAAGACAGTGGTGTCGAGACAACAGTGTCACAGGGTGTCTTTTAGCTGCGAGTGGGGATGTCATGAAGGCACTCGGAGGAAAAGCAGCTGAGCGTTTTGTTCTGTCTGAGGCTTCACGTATGACGAACAGGCAGTTTAATAAAAACCCCTGCTGTCCTGCAGCTTGTGATCACTCGGGAGAACACTCATGAAAGACCAGAGAGGACGCGCAGTGACAACACTTTAACTGGGACAGCGTGGAGGAGAGCGTCACGTTCAGCTGGTGGAGCGAGGACCAGAAACTCAGGGATATGTCCAGTAGCACTGGAAGAGGTAAATACACAAGTGGAGCTGGCCTGCTGCTCTCACACTCCTCTCTTCAGATAAACAGTTTGTCTGAGCGTCATTTGACTTCTGCTGGCATTAACAGTAAGATCGTACAAATCTTCTCCAAGACAGGTGAATAGAAACCTTGTGATCCGTCTCCATGTGATTCATCTGTTAAGATGCACTTTTCCACTTTGATTTTCTTTGATCTTATTTCAAGTTTGGAAAAAAATACACTTATAATAAATAGCTTCTAACTTCCCATAATTCAGTCAGATATAAACTGATTTTATCCATGTGGTTCTTAAGCTGGATGAATCCAAAACATATCCTCACAGGATCTGTTGCTGTGGACATGATCTAACGCCTAAACACGACCTCACAGCCTCACTCCTGCTCACAGCTGCATTATAATGTCATAAACCCAGATCTGTCGACAGCGGGGGGTCAAAAGGTCCTCGACCCGGAGGTCCTGGAGGGGTCCAGTTTGGAAAATGTCAAATATTACATAACTCTGAAAAGCTGCCTTAAAATATTTGATAAATACGTGCGTACTGGACACCACATCGGGCTGATTTCAAGTCGAACTACATGACAAAATAAAGTGTTAATCTGCAAAAATAGATAATTCCTCCAGAAAAACCCACTTTTCCATCGTCTATCTGAGACAATCGAGTTTGCATAAATATCTGCAAAATCTACATGGAATGAAGAGGTTTTGAATATTTAATTGAATTGAATTTGCAAAAACAGACAACTCCATTTTTGTAGATTTTCAGAAAAAAAAAATTTTTGTTGTTTGCTTGAGATAATATCAATCAAACTTAAGTTATCTCTGTTTTCGTCATGTCATTTCTACGGAGTCAACTTCAGTTTGATTGATATTATCTCAAGCAAACAACAAAAAAATACATTTTCTGAAAATCTACAATGATGGAGATGCAAATGAACTCTTCAAATATTCGATTAAATATTCAAAAACTCTTGGTTCCACATAGATTTTGCAGATATTTATGCAAACTCGATAAAGTGAAGTTTTGTTGGGTTATGAACAAATTAAATCATTGAACCAAATATTATCTGTAAAAACTTAAATTAGAAATACACACATGTGACTCACAGGGAGGATTGCTGTCTTCATACAGAACAGCAGGAGCTTAAACTTTATGTTTCAGTTGGAAATCATCTAAATGCAAAAAAAAAAAAAAAAGTTTGTCGCAATGAATTCTCGCTTTGTTTTCCTGTGCGCGCGCGCCGTGTCTGTGCGCGTACACGCTGCGCGCTCCTCTCCCTCTCTCCCCACCCCCGGGGGCTGCTCCGCTTTAATATCCTGCAGGTTGATGAAGCTTGGCGGGGAGATTTTTTTCCACACTCCGCTGGCAGCGTTAATAGAGGCTGCCATCCTCCCCTCTCCTCCTCCCTCCCTCCCTCCTCTGCCTCCCCCCCTCCTCCCTCTCCTCCTCCCTCCCCTCCTCTCGGCCTCGTCCGGCCCCTGTTTGATGTTTGATGTGGAAATGAAAGCTGGGAAAAGGCTGACAGAGAAGCGAGTGGCTCAATGGGTTAAATTAAAAGCGATGGTGTTGTTGCGGAGCCACCAGCGTGCAGTCCACAGAGAGGATGCTGCTGCTGCTGCTGCTTTGTCTGTCGCTGTTTACCAGGAATTAGAAAAAAAAAAAAAAAGGCCGTTTGATGGTTTTGCTGGTTGTTCTTTTGAAGGAGCACCTTGGACACACGTGTGGACATTTTTTAACAACGCGTTTGACATTTATGCAGATCAAGCATTACACTGACAGCTTCTATTTTTGCAGTTATCCAGTGATTTTACAATATTTTTAGTATATAAAACACATTCACAAATATTTATATATGTCAAAGAGGAAATGCAGTAATAAAGATATTCATCCTTATTTTTTTTTTATAATATAAAAACATTAAATGCAATGTGCTTATGAAATAAATAGAAATACAGCTAAAACAGTGGATTCTGTTGAGATTCCATTTGTTTTGAATCATTTAAATTCATTTGAGCTCGAATGATTTTAAATGTATACATGAAAAATAAGGAGAATCTATTTTTATTTTTTATTATTTTCAAATTGAAATACTTCTCTAAAATATCTCATCTCTAAAAGCATGTTTCAGCCCTTCACACAAATTAGTGGCATATAAATGAGAATTGTGAGAATAAGCCTGCAGGTATCATTTAAAATGAGCTGAAAGAATAATCAAATAATAATCAGTTTTAAAGAAATGGTTTGAAGGCAAATTTAGATTTTAAACAATTCAGAAAAAACCTTGTAGTTTGACTTTCTCTGTTTTGAGAGATTTTACAATAAATACTTTGATTAATAGAACACCTTCTAAATACATAAAACTAGATTTCTTTACATAGTTTTGATCCAAATAAAATATTATAATTTATGAAATGTATGAAAGTTTTAGTTTGATCCGTCTTTATTGGCCAGTCTCAGTTAAAAAATGAATGCAAACCACTCCTTGTGAAAAACAGAAACATCACCTTTGTCTTGTTTATTTACCGAAGTGAACGTTTCACTCCGTTCTGTCTGCGTTCTTCCTCTAATGTTTCCTTAACGCTTTTAATGTAAAACCTCATTACACTGCTGACACGCTGACACAGCTGCTGTTTATGAAGATTCATCTGACAATCAGTCCAAAAAAAAAAGAACAATCGTGAAAAATGTAGATAATTTTGCCACTTTTTTTTAGGAACATTGTGATATTCTTAGAGAGGAAATTAATTAGTTTTACTCTGTACAGCTTAAATACTTCACCTTAAGCCAAATGTAATGTCTAAAGATGCATTTTATTTAGACAATAATTGAATTCTGGTATGAATGTCCAGTGTGTGTGTGTGTGTGTAACGTATCCACTGGCAACACATTTGGAGTTATCTGTGACCATGTGGACATGGTTTTATGGCTCCAAACTGGAGTTTCTGGTTTGCGATCAAATGTAGAGTTCCCAAACCTATTGGCTAACATGCATGTGTGTGTGTGTGTGTGTCCAGGTGTGTATTAGTTTTCTAGCTGCCACGTCTCAGGTTCCATGACATTTATGAGTGTTCATCCCCCCTCCTCCCCCAGGTCATGGGGGTCTTAACCAACTAGGTGGAATGTTTGTTAATGGCCGCCCACTTCCGGAGGTGATCCGGCAACGCATCGTGGACATGGCCCACCAGGGGGTTCGGCCTTGCGACATTTCCCGGCAGCTCCGAGTCAGCCACGGCTGCGTCAGCAAGATCCTGGGACGGTGAGTTCACCTCGCTCAACCTCCTGTTACCGCTAACCAGCCTCTCCTGGCCTCTGAGAGCGTGTTTACTTATCGAGGACACGCCGGTGGTGTGTTTGTCTGACAGCCAAGAATGAACTTACGGCTGAAAGAGTCTTTTTTTTTTTCACACACAATCATCATTTTCCTTGCAGCTACTACGAAACTGGCAGCATCAAACCCGGCGTGATCGGTGGCTCCAAGCCCAAGGTGGCCACCCCGAAGGTCGTGGAGAAGATCGCGGAGTACAAGAGGCAGAATCCCACCATGTTTGCCTGGGAAATCAGAGACCGGCTGCTGGCGGAGGGAGTGTGTGACAGCGACACGGTGCCCAGCGTGAGCTCCATTAACAGGTGACAAACTGAATTATGAATGAAATCATGTTAGCGGTACGAATGTGGCGCTGTGGCTCTGCTGGCTGAGCAGCTTCTTGGATGTCAAACAGAGGAGAGACTGTTATTGGTTCTGTAAAACCAGCATCTTTCTTCTAAAGATAAATTCATTCAACTCTGATTTGCTTACAGCTTCTCTAAAGCATTTAAAGGTGTTATTAAATGTCATTTGTTTTTGCTGCAGAATAATTCGGACAAAGGTCCAGCAGCCGTTTAATCTCCCTCTGGATGGAAAAGGCCTGAGTCCAGGACAAACACTGAGTAAGTCTGCACCATTTACAAACACATACACAATGTGTATCATCGTCCGTATCTGGGAGCATTATCATGGGAAGGATTAAGGCTAACGACAGAGTCCGCTCATTGTTCTCCAGGATTAAGCTCATGACCTTTGTAGTAACAAAGACCGCTGAGGTGTACAGTATCGTTTCCGCTCTCTGTCTCAAAGCTGTCCATCTTTGATTTTTTTTTTTCTCAGTCCCCAGCTCAGCAGTCACCCCTCCAGAGTCGCCACAGTCCGACTCTCTGGGCTCCACCTACTCCATCAGCGGCCTGCTGGGAATCCCACAACCCAACGCCGAGGGCAAGAGGAGCCACGATGACAGTAAGATAAACAAAACACTGCAATCTGGGAGCAAATCTGTTGAATGTGTGTTAGTGTGGAAGATAAAAGGTAGAAACTACGGCCACTGAAACTGATAAAAGAGACAAATCTGGCAGAAAATCATTCATTTAGTTCTGCAGCAACACACAAAAAAATGTGTTGGTATAGGTATATAAAACATTGTGTCTGTGAAACATAAAATGTTGTTGGTATTATTCTGCAAGTTGGTTTATTTAATCACTTATTTGACCTTTATTGTTCCTTTTGAAAGCAAGTGTACTCTGTGGCGATGAGAACAGACCAAGAGACATTTAAAAAAATCTTGATTTATCCCTTAAGAGGAATTTTTTATTTCTTATTTTTGTAAGGAATGAGTCCAATATTAAATGGAGAATTTAAAAAAAAAATAGTTCAGGAGCAGGACCAAACCTCAGTCCCTCCACTTCCGGTTCTTACACCACCTTCGCTCTGGTTCGTTCTCGTGTACACACACCACCTCTTACACGCGCGTCGCCAGTCTGAAAGTTCTAGAAAATTCTGACTCACCACGGACCGCTCATCCTCCAGCTCTCCATGAGGGAGCACTAAGCCCGGCTCCACATCTCCTCCACGCCGATCAGCCTCATCCACAACATGGAGAGAGAGACGAGGGGATCGGCGTCCCTCCAGAAACGCCATCACCCGCGTCCACCGTCCCGAAGAGACTACTGGATTCCAACCAGAACTCCTCTCTCCGTCCTCCAGACGCTCCTCATTCGATCCCAGCCACAACCAGGGAGGCTCTTCTGAGGGAAGACCGAACCCTAATCACTCCCTCCGCAACTTTTACTCGCTCCAGCGCTGATGTCCGAAGCAGGCGAGCGTCCACAGAACCCACCGGGTCCGAAAAAAAAAATGGCGCGATAGCTCTCCTGACAATGTTCCTGCACAGGAAATCCACTGTCGCCACAACTGTTAGAGAGCAGTAAGAGAAAGTCTCTACCTGCCACCGCGCTGATAGGAAAGGTAAACTATTCAGACATTTGACAAACTTCCGGACCTTAGATCACGTGATAAACCACAACAATCCTTCTTCCTGCTGACGCTGTGCGCCAGAGCGTGGCGTCATCACGCTATTCGTAGCTCCTCCCAGTTTTGTTTTTTGTTTAGTTTAGTTTTTATTTTTTTATTTTTAGAGAGGCACCATCTATGCTTGAAGCAGGCAAGCCTCCAGAGAAGCCGTCTCATTCTTGCAATGCACCCAGAAACCTTCATCACGGAGCCATATTACCGACAGACGATGTCCCTCCTCATGAAATCTTCAACCAGATCGCTATTAGCCTTCAGACAGCTTAACAGAAAGTCGTCTCCTGCCACCTCGCTGACAACAGAGTCAAACTATTACCACTTCTGACAAACTCTGAGCTTTCAATACATGATAAACCACAACAATCCTCTCCTTCAGAGGCAGCACCCAAGCATGATGTCACCACACTCTCCGTAGCTCTGCCCAGGTTGCCAGGTGTGATTCATCCTATCTACCAGCAACCTACTGCAACTTGTTCCCAGCTCCACCCCTACGGCAACTTCTGGCTAATGGGTTGCCAGTTCCTTGCATCCATCCCTCATTCCCAGCAAACTGTCTCGCTCTCCCTTGCTATCAGTACCAGGTTGCCAGCTCAACTTTCCCCATCCCACACCCCAGCAACCTCTCTGTCTCTCACTATTTACTCCTGGTTGCCAGTTCCCCCTCTCCATCCCCTATTACCAGCAACTTCTTTTTTTCTCCCACAACTTATAGTACAAGAGTTCAACAACAACCTGACTCTAATTCTCAACCTCGCCCTTCATCTCTGAGACGCAGGCATCTATCATTCTTACATTCAGCTTGCCTCTACTGCAACAGCTCACCTCCAACAATTCATCCAAGACACCTACTGGTTCGTTGCGACTAGAGGCTGTGTCATTGCACCTTTTTCAGCACGTTCATTTTTAATACTTCACAAACGAGGATAATTGAGTTACTCAGTCACCACATGTACTGTTCACAATTCCTCTTTTAGTCATCTTCACTTAACAGCATCACTACTATCTGCTATTCATAAGGCCACAAGGCTTCCCACTCCCATGCTCTTGCCACAAGGCATCGACCTAAAGGAAAACCAGAGCTTCAGTTACAAGGAAAAGCTATCTGCAACAGTGTTAGCCTAGCCAGCTAGGACATGCCTCGGTGCAGATACCTGCACACTTGCTTCTTCTGCAGCAACGGTCAATCTTGACTGGCCTGCCCTCACAACTGTTGCATACCACATCAGTGATCCATTTCTGCCTTGATTCCTAGTACCGGGATGCAAGTGTCACTAGCTACTTCCCCCCCACAGAGATTCCAGTTTCACTCTTCTCTATCCTCCACTTCAACAACTTTAGCTCTCATTCTGGCACAGAGATACTAGTTTCACTCATCTCTATACCCCGCTAAGCAATTTCGGCTCCTTGTGGCACCAGAATGCCAGTTTCACTCATCTCTATCCTTCCATTCAACAAATTCTGCTTTCATTCTGGCACTGAGATGTCCATTTCACTGGCCCATTTTTACATTGTCAGAAGTCTGGTTCTCACACTTCTGTCACTGGGTCACCAGTTTGTCCCACTATCATATCCACGTCAACCTTCTGTTTAAATTTCCAGCAAAAGATGCCAGTGGCACATACCTCCATTGGCCACGCTAGCAAGCCGCCATTGAGGCATCCAAATCAGGTGTCCGAACCACCTCAGTTGACTCCATCTGACGTGAAGGAGCAGCAACTCCACAGCAAGCTCACTCCAGATGGCAACCACCTCGATCTGTCTCAGTCTTTACATCACAACCCAGCCAACATATGAAGGAAACTCATTTCGACCAGCTGTACCTGCAATTTTGTTCTTCTGTCACCATCTAGAGCTCATGACCATAAGTTAGGATTGGAATGTAGGATGACCCGTAAATAGAAAACTTCACCTTCTGGCACTCTAGAATCAGCGTTTCTGTTGGCCTTCCTTTGTTCCTGCGACACACAGAGTTCATTGCATAGTCGACCAACAAGTCGAGTTCAAACCTCATCGCCATCCTCTTCCACATCCTGTGTTCAACCTTCCTCCATCGACGAAACACTGCCTTGTCTATCCACTCAAACTAAGCCAGACCAATCAAGCGGGTAATCCAACGCCCTATTATACTTCAAACTAGATTAACACCTAAACCCTTACAAATCTATGGTACATTATATGCAAACCAGAAAATCTCAGGATGCTTTGCCTTCCGACCCTCAGTTTGTTGCAGAGATTGGTCAAGTTGAAACCTTATTTTGATTCCTCTTCCACTTTGAACAAGTCCTGACAGCGTCCAGAGTCCTAGCATGTTTTCTGGCCACTCCTTACCTATTGATGCAGCCTCCAGCTGAGGGGTTCAGCACCACCATGTATCTGCTTCTCATTTGCTCCAACCCTCGATTCTTTCATTCTTATGAGACGCTTTTTGGGCGTCTGCTGGCCCAGGAGCCACCGCTGATCTCAGACTAAGGATTTCCCCACAACGCATCTGTTCGACTCTGTCATTATCAACATAGCGCTCATTTGCATCCAATAAAACTTTAAATCGATGGCGTGGTCCTTGCTAGTGAAACCTAAATGTTATTATTTTTGATTTTAGGGTTAATTTATTTGTTTATGAAGCCATATATGGGTTGACACTTGTCCCTGTTACTCCTTGAGGCCTCTTAGATCCTCAGAACAACTGTTTTAACTATTTCACAACTGAAGTTGGTGGTTAATTGAGATCGTACCTTTGCGGTGGCAGCTTCAAAGTTTTAAAACAGCCTTTAACATTCCTGTTGTTGCTGTTCTATCTTGCTTCTTGGAGTGCTTTATATTTATTTTAATTTGTTCTCCAAATTGATTTTACTCATTTTACTCTCATTTCTGTCTTGGGTTTTTGCACATTCTTGTTGGTACCTGTTTTTATAACACATACAGTACTTTGGTGAAACATGCTTTGATTTGACGTATTGCACCAGTTATCTTAAAAGTACAGAAGTTGCAGAAATACATGGTTGTTGTTAAGTCTTTGACCTGTTTTTTGCTGATTAGTGTGAATGATTTCAGTTAATGGACAGTTTTTCTCTCTCGGTTTTTGCTCCACTAACAGGGAACTTGTTGTTTCCCTGATTCAGCTGTATGAAGTGAAATTACTGCCTTATGTCAGAGATGGTTTTCTAATCAAGCTGTTCATAGCAGTGTACCCATTCACAGGCTCACAGAGATATATTACTGGATATAACAAACAGCTAGCGGACTATGAGGAGATATTTACTGAAACTGACAAAACTATATTGGATTAGAATCGCTTACTTCATCTTTAGGAACTGTGTGAGAGACCAATTAAGTGTTCAAGTCCGTTCAGTAGAATATTATTATCATCTAAAGGCAGCACTACAATCTGAAGCACATATTTTCTTCAT